CGTTACAGTTAATCGATACAGAAGGATCAAGTCTCCTTGTTTTCTCTTATATCGATTTAACACGTCGATTCTACCAAATCTTGAATTCTCAACGAGCTTCCGTAAAAATGCCGCGTAGTTCTGGTCAACGAGCTTCCCCTCACACCCCTATTTATTGCCTTCAAACAACCTCCACCGCAAATCTCAGGAAACCACTCCGGTAAAGAAACTTAGCAAGAAAATTATTTAGCAGGAAAATTCTAACGTAGTGAAACCAAACGAGTCTACCCTCTCTAGTTGAGGCTTTTCGAAATTCCTAACCACTGGGCGAGAGTCCAACGATCCCCAGTCTCAAGTAGCTTCCATGCTCCAACTTTGTCCAACTCGAACACTCTTTTTCCCTGGAACGCGATCACAGTCTGTCCTTTTTTAGGCCACAATTCTATGGGATCGGGGCCCTCTATACCCGTCAAAAGGCAATAATAACAAGGAAACCAATAGAAGATAACCACCCCATCTTTGGTTATGGGCATAGTCCCCTGAGAGATAGCGGGGTTCAATTCCCAATTGAGTTCTACAAGCGGTTGTTATGTTAGAGAGGAATAATTAGAGAGAGGATAAGGCAGAGAATAAAAGGCTTATAACACGTTTCTTTGCCCTGAGCTTGCTACAAAAGCGCCTAACTCGCCAGTAAAGCTACATAAATACGAGAGCCGTGCCTTACACTCGATTAGACTAAAGCTAGAAGTTGTATATATACAAACGGTAGCCTTAGCGAGCACTAGCGAGAAAGGTCAAGGGCCCGTCCCTCTGGCGGCGAAGCGTAGAAGGTCCCCCACAGTCTCTCAAGTTTTTCCTCGACTTCCACGTGTCTCGAATCGACGAGACATCTTTTAAAGATGAACGTTGCCTTTTTTATCCACGATGATTGGCGACTTGCTTGACTCGCGATTTCTAACGAGTCCGATAGAGGATCTCGAGGCTCGTGTGCGGCCACGTCACGCCGGAAAGGCTCGGCCAGGATATATCCTGGCGGAAGAGGGGCGGACCAAGGCATCGATCTCTCAGAGGAGGCAGGCGGACACAGGTTCCAATTACCGCCGCTTCGAATTGGCCGTGTTTCTCCGGCGAACTCGAGGAATCTGCCTGCGATCGAGTCGAGGCACCGCCCAACCCACGTTCCCTACGAACTCACCAGCGATTGATATTCCTCCGTTTCCTTCTCGAGGAGATCATGTCTCTCGTTTCTGCAGCTGGCTTCTCATAGCGAATGCTAGCAACGAGATGGAGATGCTGTTGGCGAGTTTTTGCCAGCACGTTGCTAACCATGATTTTAATTGGACGATGCTGCGTGAACTGCCTGGCGAATGTCTTGAAAGCAATTAAGGGGAAATTATGCAGGAGGAGAGACGTTAATTGGACGTCTCTAGGTGTTGGGAGGTTCTGGTAGTTTTGCGACAATCGTTGTTATCGCCGAATTCTTTTCTCGGGAGATCGAAGATCGTGGTTTGTGTCGTGGGATATGAGAAAGCTCGATGAACGTCAAGTGTAGATTGTATCGAGTATTATTTTCACGAACAAATGTAATTTAAGTGCAGACTTACTTGTTTCAGAGGCTAATCGAATTTTGGAAACTGGCGAAAAAACGAATCCTAATTTTCTGTGTAGCACTGCAGATACACTATTTTTATAAATTACTGTCAAGAACCTTAAGAGACACACACTACCGGCCAAATGTTTGGAATCACTGTACGTTGTAAGTTATACAAAAATTTCCAGAAAAAGTTAGCAATTTTAAGAATTCTTTAACCAACTTTTTGTCATTCAAATCAATCGAAGTGAGGTCAGGTGCTATTGGTTTCCACGACATCAGTTTCAGGTTTATAAAAAATTAGTAGCAAACTGAAGATTGATGTAAATTGACAGGTGATTCCAAATTTTTTGCCGGTAGTGTACGCTATTAAATTTATTTTTACAGCACAATGATTTAATAAATAAAATTGCCAAGGTAGTCTAAGACACTGCACGTCTGTGGTGACGTCTTAAAGACGTTAACTATTACAATAGTTTCTCTACGAACATAATGGGTGTCCCAATACTACCGAACGGCAGTTCGCTTCAAGTTTCCTTCGCTGCACGAGTGTCCACGAAAGTAACGTACGTAGAACGTGGTACTAACAGGAAAAACCGAACAGCGAAGAAAGGGAAGAAAATTCTAGTCTACGTAAGGCTGTTTCTACGTCACGAATGACCGAAACTGTCACCTTTTTCTCGTCGAACGAGCATCGATAGACCCTCGAAAGCGACGTAACCGTCCAAGACACAGTAGAGACGACTTTATTTAGGGAGGATGATCGACGTGATCGATTCAAGGGCACCGGTTGTGGCCACCTTCCTCATAACGTGAGCCACCCGTTCCAAAACTGCGGGAATATCAATAGAGCTGCTCCTGGTATAGTAGCTAAAGAAGGAAGCTAGGGAGGGAGAGTGTGTTTCAGTGGCATACTCGACGCCAGGCATCTCGAATGAATTTATACGGCGACCTTACCTCGAGAACGGAATTTTCAATGCGGCTGTACACTTATTGGCTCTGATATATTCCAGGAACTTTTATTCGAGATCGTAAATTAGCACGATATTGCTGCCGGAGTTCCACCCTTGGAATTGCACCCCTTCGTCAGGGTACAGGACACAGAAAATCGCTTTATCGATAACGATCCCACGATTTCTTCTTTCCTACTACGCCCCGAACCGTCTGTACATATATATACGTATATACTTGGAGACTCTCGATCAAACGAGTTTGCCGCCTTTTATTTACGACTACTCGGGCGCCGGTCGGCGACTTCTTGCCGAATCCGACGCTTCTTTCCAGCTTCGAGTCGTGCTCTAAATTGAGTCCAAGGTTTCTTCGCAGTCGCCTCTAGCCTGCTCGAACCGAGTTTCCTTAATAACACTTTCGAAACCGCCTCGAGTTTCACGGGACGATTCGCCTAGCAGGTGGAATAGCTCGAAGCTGTCCGTTCAACCGACTTCGTCTGAGAAATCGATTCGACGATTTTCTTATGCTTGCGCATTTAACACCGCAGCCTCGATCCCTCGTCCATTGTACCAGTTTTCGTATTCTTCTTCGGCTGCGCCTCGAGCAAAAGTGGAGAAAAGTTTCGCGGATTATTGGTGAAATTACCGAGTAACGTGAAGTTGCTTGTGCTTTCGCTGGTCGCGACGACAACCTTCCCTTTCGGTTTCTTTCGGGAAATTCATTGCTGTTGGACTCTCTTCGGATTTGAGAAACTTTCAATTGTACAACGAGAAGTGTTCGATACCAACGACCGAATAATTGCTATGCAATCATCGTTCTTCTTGTAAAAAGTACCATTTTCGAGTATCGACATCTTCTAACGTACCTGAATAATGACTCTCGATCCAATTAAAACTCCCTCCGCGAGATGCACGCGTTGAAAAGATGAGGGAAGAGCTGTCTACTTGCTCCACAAAGTGGAATTCAGCGATTGAAGACAGGTCGATGGCGAAGAACGGGGCCTCCTCCGCAAAGAGGATCTGAAGGGTGGCGATTAAGGCGGTGGAAGGAAGGAAGGGAAGGATGTCGGCTGGTCGTTTGTCTTAATAAAGTGCGTGGAAGGTATGGCTGTTCGGGGTATCTGACTTATGGCTAGTCATCCGAGTAGGCTGCGCCCTTCTTACGACCCGTTTCCACCACTTTTTCCCTGCGATATTCAGAAGGGTTCCTCTGGTTCTGGGGGTCGTTAACCCGGCCTACCGAGTCCATCAATCGAACGAGGGTGGCTGGTTAACGACGCCAAACATTCGTCATCGGGTGGATGCTTCCTTCTTCCTCTCCGTCTCGCTTCGTTTCATCCCCCTCTCTCTCTCTCTCTACTCCTTTCGTTCGAGCTTCTCGAATGGCCTCGCAACCGGAACATTTATTGCCGATTAGAGAGGCAAATTGGGATAAATGAAAAGTTTCTCCCTGGACTAGGATCGGTCGAGGTATTCTAGACTCTCTGTTCTTTTTTTTTTTATTTTCAACGTGAAAGGTATTAGCCAAATTTGTAACTTAATATACCCTACGTAACAAGAAGTTCGACCCAGTTTTTACCCCGAGCAAGTGAAATATCGGCAAAGAGAATTTTCTATCCGATCGCGATTTTTTCCCACTGTTCCATTTACCTCCTCCCTAAGGCTGGCTCCTTTAGCGTCCGCCACTCGAGCCCCTTGTACTCCAGCCTCAGACCAGAGAGCCTAGATTTGCATAAATAAACAATTATTTCCAGCGATTGTTTTTAAGTGGGGAGCGTGGCCGGGATAAATATCGGCCGATAAATATTCAAGGTTCCCCGTTTAAGGGCCGTCCTTTTTACCGGATCAGGCCAACCGGTCACCCAATGATTTATCATTCTCCTCTTCTACGCTCTTTCAGCTGTGTCGCTGAAATTTTCTCTTCTTAGAATTCTCGCAAATTCGTGCAATTAGGTACTCGTGAAACTTTCCAAACACAGTTTCTCTCTAACGCAGCTCTTTTCGCAGACTCGACGTACAGATCTACCTTGAATGTGCGCGAAAAATCATTTCGCAAACTATCCTCGTCAAAGGGAACAGGAGAAATTCTAAGCTCGGAGTCGTAAGCCCCGCCGTTTCAAGATACTTAAGCAGATTCAGTTGATTTTAATGTACCGTATGAACATAAGTTTGCCAGTCGTGCTAAAGCTGGCTGATGCTCTCTCTCTCTAAACTCGCTAAACACACGTTGTTTCCACTCTCTACGGTAACTCTGAACTCTGGCTACAACGCTATTCTCCGTTAAGAAGCGACACACCGCATACACAAACCCTCGGAACCACCAGTTAGCCACGCCAACATCCGTCCGCATTCCCAGGATCCCTAACTCCCAAGCACAACATTCGCACTTGCTATCATCCCACTTCTAGAAACCTCTCTGTAGTTCTCTTACCGCTATGCTTACAGCTAAACGCGTTCTTCCGCGTTCTGCTTCTTTATAGAGACGTCCGTGGTGCTGCCGTCCGCCGCCTCAGACCTGGACAAGATCCAGCAGCCGGTGAAGGTCGTGCTATCCAGCACTTGTCATCACGCGTACACCGCTTGCAAGTGAGTAGACGCTCTTGTTAAAGTGGACTCCTTGGCTGGAGCTGGGGAAAGGGTTAAAGGTTAACCTGCGCTTTCTTCGGAATTCCATTTGTAATCTCATTCTGGAGAAGTAATTTCAGATTTTCTACTTTCAGTTAGGGAGATTTGCAATTTAACCCTTTTGGGGCTGAATTCAGATTTTTCAGCAGTGCAGCGATAGAGATATTTGTAGGGTTGAATTCTCGACACTTTATTAAGATTTCGAGGTGCTGAATTAATAAAGATACGTACAGTGTGGAATTCTTGACACTGTGTTAAGATTTTTCAGCAGTCAATTGATGAAGATATTTATACCGTTGAATTCTGGACACTTTAACCCTTTCGTGACCACTGGACCACCTGTGTCCCACTTGAGTACTCGAAGGAAAATTCATCTCCATTCATTATTCATTAACACGTCGACTGCCACGGTGGTCATATGTGACCGCAGATTGTTTCTCATGTAGAGCCACGGCGGTCATCGGTGACCGGAGTGCTTCACATGTTTATAATTGTAAAAGTTGAATGAACATTGACAGTTAATGAATTTCGAACATCGTCGCTGATTAGAGAACACTATTCAACGATTAAAAATTTTTATTAGAAGATCAAAAATGAGAGATTAATTTTTATCAAATCTTCTATCTACCTATCTACCGGTGTATCTTTGTTTCAAAACTTGCAAAATTTTTTTTTTCTTCTTTGTCAAAATGAACGAAGATCTGTTTACTACGTTGCTATGATACTGTTTGAGGTATATACCACATAACGTAAATAAATATTCCAAAATAGTTAACAAGTGTGATCGAGTGCACCGAGGCGCCACGGTGGTCACCGGTGACCACCAGAAAGATAAACGCCCCATGGGTAAGAATGTTATTATTTCGCCATTGTATGCTTAGAATAATAAAAATACTTTCGTGGCGCCCTGAGCAAAACACGTGATTTCAGTGTGGCAGTCGACGTGTTCAGTTCTTGAAAAAAGGGTTAACCTTGCTCTGTATCTATTTTTCTGACACACGTAAATCGATCTACGCCTTCGTTATCTTAACGAACGTGTTCCTGGTTAATATACGATCGGTTCGATGGATTCCTGTTCCAGAAACGATCCAGACTGCAGGGCCCTAATGGAACCTGTGCTGAACAACTGCGGTTCGACGAGCTGCGCGCGAAACGAGTGCATGGACGCGCTTCAGAACTTCTACAAATCCGCCAATCACAAGCACTCCGTGGAGATCGCGTTCTGTCTGTGTAGGTGAGTTCGAAAAGTAACGCGCCAACGGGTAGAATCTTCGTCGAAAGTTGGAGGGTGTAACGACAGATTTTCTACCAGAGGCGACGAGCCGTGCGAAACAAAGGAAGGAAAGAAAACGAAAAAGGGGGTGGAAAACTAAAATTTCGTGCTGCAATCGCTTCTTGTCAGGTCGCGCGATAGTCGTCGAAATAACGAGATAAAAAATTCTATAAATCCGCGACACGCGGCCCGTGTGAAAATCGTTTTCCGCTCGCACCGGTTCGCCGCGCGCCACCAGAGGAAAATATTCCGGCGTACTCGCAAATCGATGTCTGTCGACGGTGAAAAAAAAAAGGAAGAAAAAAAAGCGGGAGAAACAAAACAAAAAAAAAAAGAAAAACAGGATGAGCCCACCACTTGTCGGGGCACACGGGATTTTATGAATTTGCATGTGAACCGTGTTATTCGTCCGTTGAAACGAGGAAGGCTCTTTAAACGACTCGAAACAAGTCGGTTCGTTGTCGAATAGATCAGACACCCGGTAGAACGACGGAGGGATTCGAGAAGACTGTGAAAAAAAGGTTCGTTCGCTGGGTATATCGTTTTACCGGCGAAAACAATTAACCTATCGTATATGCACCAGAGAGAGAGAGAGAAAGAGAGAGAGACGTGCGTCAAATTCGGCCGCTAATTAATTTGCCCGCTTGATTAATGAAGGATCGAGTAACCACGACCGCCAAAGATATTTTACAATCCTGTTCATCGAACTGATTGCGTTGCAATCGTCGACCAGCAATTCCGATCACACGCGTGGATGGTTTGAAATAAAATCGAGGGCTTGGTAGAGCGTTCAGGTGATTGAGTTTATGGACATGGACGCCTAGCCGAGCTATTTTTCAGGGGATTTAATTAAAATTTTGGCGGTATAGTCGACCGTTAGAGGCAAAAGGCAAGGTTTAAAAATTGCTCGATTTCTGCAGATTCGATGGCAATAGAAACGTCGTTAACCAATCACAGAGCGCTCGAGCTATTCGTGGATACAGGTCGGTCCCTTGATCGGCACCTTGCCAGCTGTTAAAGTTAGGCGAGATGCTCGAGGTCCTAGGAAGACCGCCCAATGTCTGAGAACTCTCAATCTTGTCAAATTTTGCTAAGGAGAATCACGACTATCCTCGTTTCATGTTATAAACATTTTTTCGTTCAATTTGTACAAATTTAAAGAGTACAACGTTCGACACTTTATCTACCGCTCATAGTTTGGCGCGGATTCGTCGCCAGTACCGTGTCGGTTTTGGCTATTGCGCGGAAATAGCGTGATAGCGCTCGTAACAGACGTCACTCTCCATTTACAATACTAACAAGTGGACGTGAAGCAGGAATTGTAGCAAACGTTAACCAAAGAGAAACGATGATCCATCTAATCGGAAAACCGTCGATTTTACCCTCGAGTACGGTAGACGAAGATTATCTCGCTACCTGTTCTCCCAGGATTAAAACCAAATTAGAGACTAATGCGTCGCCGAAAGAAAAATACTTGCGCTAACATAGAGGAACGTGAGAACGATTGGAAGGATTATTCGAGGCTGACAGACGATACAAAGAAGGAAGTAAGGTTTCTCTGGAAACGCGTTCCGTGGAACACGACTCAATTAAAGCCGCTCGTCTTTGTACGTTTCCCGTAATCCTGAGTAAACTCGC